ACTCCGCATTCTCCCCTTGCCTCGGCCCCTGGCGACCACCGCCTGCTTTCTGGAGCCCTGAATTTGACTGCTCTAGGTACCTCGCATAAGTGGGACCTTATCTGTCGTTTTGTGACTGGCTTATTTCAGTTAGCACAGTCTCCTCAAGGTTCATCCGTGTCGTAGCACGTGCTAGAATTTCCTTCCTTCTTAACACCAAGTGATATTGCACTGTGTTTATAGCCACACGTTGTTTAGCCATTCCCTCCCTGGGAGACTCCTGAGTTGTTCCTGCCTTCCGGCTACTGTGAATAATGTTGCGTGTGCACACTGTGCACGTCTCTGAGTCCTTGCTTTCTTTTCTGCATAGACCTAGAAGCGGAGTTGCTGTCTCACGTGGGAATCCTAGGTGTAATTTTGTTGAGGAACTGCCATACAGTTTTCCATAGTGACTATGCCATTTTACATTTCCACCAGCAGTGTGCGAGGCTTCCCACCTCTCCACGTCCACACTAGCACTTCTTGCTCTCTGGGGTGTTTTTAGGTGGTGGTGTATTGGTAATAGCCACCCAATGTGAGGCACTATCTCATTGTGGTTTTGCTTTCTTTCCACTTTCTCATAATTAGTGATGTTGAGCATTTTCTCATGTGCTTGTTGGCCACTTGTATTTCTTTGGAGAAATGCCTATCCAAATCTTTTGCCCATTGTAAAAATTGGGTTCTTTGGGGTTTTTTGTTCTTGAGCTATGGAAGTTCTTTCATAGTCTTGGATTTGAATCCCTAAAAACTTTTAATTTTTTAAAATGTATTTATTTGAAAGGCAGTGTGATATATATAAATACAGAGAGACCTTCTATCCGCTGGTTTACTTACCAAATGGCTGCACCAGCCTGGACTGGGCCAGGAACCAGGAACTGCATCCAGGTTTCCCATATAGGTGGCAGTGGCCCAAGCACTCAAGCCATCTGCTGCTGCCTTCCCAGGTGCGTTAGAGCAGGGAACTGGATCAGAAGCTGAGCAGCTGGGACTCAAATCCATTCTCAGATGAGATGCTGGCATGGCAAGTGGCTGCTTACCCTGCTACACAAAGCAAACCTCATGATTCTGAACTCTCCTGGTACACTGTCTGGGGTCAGTGCTGCTCTCACCAGCACTGTCCACCCGCACCTCAAACGCCAGTCAGTGACTGTCTCAAACCTGTTCTCCAACCAGAGCAGAAAACAGAACTGACTACAAGATGTCTGTATGCCTGACTGTGAAGCAGCACCCTCTTCTACCCAGTTCCCTGGGAATTAAGCTTCTGTCCCCAACACCCAGGAGAGCTGGTCTCCTGGTGGAGTCTGGGCTGGGAGTCCCAGATAGGGAAGGCAGGTCCAGCAGTGACCCCCCTACTGCCCCCAGAGCTCAGCTTGTGCCCACCCCAGGCCCAGCTGGGACACACCCTCGTTTATCTCATCTCAGAAAAGCAATTTAGGGGCCGGCGCTGTGGCGCAGTGAGTTAAGGCCCCGGCCTACAGTGCCGGCATGCCATGCGTTCACCAGTTCAAGTCCTGGCTGCTCCTCTTCTGATCCAGCTCTCTGCTATGGCCTGGGAAAGCAGTGGAAGATGGCCCAAGTCCTTGGGCCCCTGCACCCACATGGGAGACCCGGAAGAAGCTCCTGGCTCCTGGCTCCTGGCTTCAGATCAGCTCAGCTCTGGCTGTTGAGGTCATTTGCGGAGTGAGCCAGCAGATGGAAGAACTCTCTCTCTGGACCTACCTCTCTCTAACTTTGTCTTTCAAATAAATAAAATAATTATTTTCAACAAAGTATTTCTCCCATTCTCTATTTTAGATTACTTGGGATAATAACTAACATGTATAAAGTTGTCACATGCCAGACATGTTTTTAAGATTTTTAAATTTATTTTAATTTGTATTTGAATGAGACAGATGAGATCGTCTGTCCACCGATTCACCCCCCAATGCCTGCACAGCCAGACTGCAGCCGGGAGCCTGGAACTTTACCTGGGTCTCCCATGCAGCTGGCAGTTCCCAAATACTTGAACCACCTCCTGCAGCCTCCCAGGGTGCAAAATAGCAGGAAGCAGAGCTGGGACCCGAACCCAAGTGGGATGTGGGTGTTCCGAGCAGCACCCTAAACTACTTTTTCACCAAATGCCCACCCCTTGCCAGACACATTTATATGGGTTAATAGTTTATATTTACACACTTTGGGGCCATGTGCTGCCCTTACCCCCAGTTTCTAGATGAGGAAATCAAAGCACACAATTACTTCGATCCTCATCTGAGCCCAGATGAATCTGAGCTTAGCAGTCTGGCCCCAGAGACTGGACTCAGCCTGGTGCTGTGGAGCGTGGCTCCTTCCGCTCTCCCCAGGGCAGTGAATTCCCGACAAATGCATTGCTTGGGGCTGGCAGTTCTAAGTTGTAGTTCAAATGGCTTTGATCCCTATCTCTTAAAAAAAAAATTACTTATTTGAAAGAACACTAGAGAGATCATCCACCCTCTAGATCCCTCTCCAGATGGCCGCAATGGTCAGGCTTGAGCCAAGCCAAAACCAGCAGCTGGGAGCTTCATCTGGGTCTTCCACATAGGTTTCAGGGACCCAAACACTTGGGCCATCGTCCGCTGCTTTGCCAAGCCACTAACAGGGAGCTGCATCAGAAGTGGAGCAGCTATAGGATGCTAGCATTGCAGGCAGTGGCTTAACCCACCGTGCTACAACCTCGGCTCCCATTGAAGGATTTTGAGTCAAGGAATAGCTTTCCCTGAGTTTCCCTTTTTGAAGACACCTCCTGGCTGCTCTGCAAAGAGTCGAAGCGTGGAGACCAGGTAAGGACAGCCTAGTGCATGATGAGAAATTGAACCGGGCTGGTGGCTGGAGATACAGGTGGAGAGGATTTGAAAGCTGTTTGCAAGTCGATGGGGGTGGCGCACCTGGAGCTGAGAGAGGCAAGCACTGAGAGGTGGGGAAGGCTGGGGACAGAGGGAAGCAGTGGCCACTCGCATCACTGGGCATGCGCAGGAGGGAGGACGGAGGCTGGAGTCCTCGGGAAGAAGGAGAGAGCTCTTCTCTGCCGTGCCGGAACCGGACCAGTGGACGGTAACTGGAGAAAGGCGTCTGACTCCGAGGTTTGTCTTGCACATGGTGGAGGCTTTTAAGTGGGGCGATACTGGAGCATAGTGTTACTGACAACGATCCAGCAGAGAGAGAAAGTGACGGTTTTAGGAAAAAAACGAAGGCTGCACTCTGGAGAGGGTGCCAGGCTCCCCCCGTGGCTAAGCAGAAACTGGTAGTCCGTAAGATGCTCCTTGTTGCACAAGGGAGAGATGGAATTAGATTAGATTAGATGTGGGTGGATCTGAGGTAGCCAGGGTGGAAAGATCAGGGCAGTTCTGTCTGAATAGTTCTAGTTTTTCTGTTCCGTATTAGATGAGAAACGTGAAGGCTCAGAGATCCGTTAACTTGCCTGAGGTCACGTGCACTGGAAGGGGCTGAGCTGGATCTTCTGATTCCAGGCCTTTCCTCACCTGGGTCACCTTCTCTGCTGTTCCTTCCCCTCCGCAGTGTGGTGCCCGTGAATAATAATCTGTGCAACCCGAGTGCGATGAACCTCTCCGCCGTGGGCTTCACTGTTTGCACTTGTTGGTGCTGCCACAGACGGCAGTGAACGCCACAGGCCCTGAAATGTTCTTTCTCTGTTTCCATCCATAACCCCAGCTGCTGTTTCCTTTCATGGCACCATAATCTGAAGAGAAACCTGCTATGCTCTCCGCAGTTGCTGGGGCAGAGCAGGTGGATGGAGGGTGGAAGGTTCTAGCGGCATCTTCGCCGGTGAGGGCTGTGTCAGGCCCAGGGTCTCCCTCCCATTCACCAGCCTCGGGAGCCCTATGCCTCCACTCCTGTGTTTCCAGCCACTTCCAGCACCCCTGCCTCACCTGACCCTGAAGTCCAGCCTGCCTTCTTTGCTACCCCCAACCTCAAGACACGCTGACACCACGAGGCTGGTGAGCTTGTGGCGGAGTGAGAACACCCCATCACAGGCACCGTCTGGCGATGGAAAGATTGGCCATGGCTTCCGTAGCCTGTGACTTGGCATTCCCCCTGGGGAGTTCCCCATGGGCTGGATCCTGCCCTGGCTGTGGCTTCCCCTGTCTGCTCTTCTCCATGGCTAGCTTCCTGCCCCCACTTTTCTGTTGTCCTAGGGCCAGCTTCCTGCCCCCACTTTTCTGTTGTCCTAGGATGAGCTTTGCAGATCCCCTCCTCCCAGGGCACTCTCATGACCTGGGCAGCACTGTGTTGACCTGGCAGCACTCTGTGTGACTTGGGCAGCACTGTGTGTGACATGGGCAGCACTGTGTCTGACCTGGGAAGCACTCTTTGTGACCTGGGTACCACTGTGTGTGCCCTGGGCAGCACTGTGTGACCTTGCAGTGGAGGGAAACGCTGGTTCATGGGAGGCCTCCCACAGGTTGTGAGTGCTGGCTGAGTTTTGCAGGCTACCTAGACATGACCCAGAAAAGGAAAGGAAGTGCTGTGTTTAACTTCTGAGAGGTAGAAATGAGCCTCATGCCTTTAGGGAACGGGATAAGCAAAGCACAGAGCTTTCAGTGAGACAGGACCTCCAAGGAGAGACAGGAAGTCAGTCATGGAGAGCCTATGTCTCCCGTAATTAAGTCTCTGGCTTACACCTTAGGCCACGGCCATTCCCTTCCATTAAATGCCGATGCCGTTTTTAACACAGCCATGCATAAGGGAGCCTAAGGCAGCTGACTTTCCTCTCACACCTGTATTAGCTGGACACTGTTGTCTGCTCTAGAGTTGTTTCAAAATAATAAATTCCATGGACACAGTTTGTGGGCCTGAGTCTGGTGTTTCGATGGGTGCTGACTGGCAAACTGGGGCACAGACACAGGGACACGGCTCTCAGCTAGAGCTGGCTGCGTTTTTAGGAAAAAAGTATAAAGTCCAACGCCTAGGTACAGAGATAGCAAGAGAGAGAAGTTCAACACAGCGTGTTACAGTATCTAGTAACTCTTTATTTCCACCCAAGACTGTCTGTCCCGCTGGGACTCACTGCCACCCGTGTCTGATGCTGCGCCTGCCTTTCCCCTCGGAGACGGAGGCGTGGACCACGTTCTGCTTACGTCACCAAAGTCTTCCTCGCTACCCGCCAAGCACCGTGCCTCTGACTCTATCAGACCGTATCGATGTTTCAGGACTGGAAAACCACAATATCTGTGACTGCGAAAAATGCATGACTTTAGGTCTGTAACAGGCTTTAAAGCAGAACATACATTCTCTTTCTGCTTCTCCCAATGTTTTTCTGATTAAGATTTTATAATTTTATTCCCATTCATGTTTTCACAGAAACCTGCACTCTGTGCCTAAGTGTCTCTCTTTTAGAATTTACTTATTTTTAAAATGTTTATTTATTTATTTGAAAGGCAGAGTTGGGCGGGGGAGAAAGAGAGAGAAAGAGACAGAGAGACATAGAGAAAGAAAGAGAGAGATTTTCCATCTGTGGGTTTATTCCCCAGATGGCTGCAATGGGCAGAGCTGGGCTGTCCTGAAGCCAAGAATCAGGAGCTTTTTCTGGGTCTCCCATGAGGGTGCAGGGGCCCAAGTACTTTGTCCATCTTCAGGCTCATTAGCAGGGAATTGGATTGGAAGTAGGACAGCTGGGACTTGAACCAGAATCCATATAGGATGCCGGGGCTGCAGACGGCAAATTTACCTGCTACACCACAGTGCTGGCCTCCGTGATTCCATTTTCTTTACTGATTAAAAATCACTTGAGGGGGTAAGCATCTGGTGTGGTGGTTAAGAAGCCACTTAGGATACCCTGAACCCACATCTGGGTGTTGGGATTCACATTGTAGCTCTGCTCCTGATTCTAGCTTCCTGGAATGTGCAGCTTGGGAGGCAGCAGGTAATGGCTCAAGTGACTGTGTCCCAGAACCCACATGGGAGATTTGGATGGAGTTCTGAGCTCCTGAGCCTGGGCCTGCCCTGGCTATTGCAGATACTTGGAGAGTGATCCACCCAAGCTTAACTCCACCATGCACAGACTTTTGGGGAACCCCCGTGTCCCCATGCACTCACACAGACCTAGTGGAGAAGCAGGTAAATAGTTCCTGGCATGCAGGTGTGTGCTGCGGGGACACATGATGGCACATGAGCATGCGGGGCTGTGTCCCAAGGGCTGGGAACAGAACCCACATAGCCCAAGGTTAGAGGCAGCCCCAGGTGTCTGAGGGGTGGGGCAGCCAGCCCACAGGCCAGGGGGTCCAGGGAGCAGTCTGCAGAGGCGGCTTTAGGTCAGTTCCAGAGGCACATTTTATGTCAGCTCACAGAGTGCACACACAACAGCTAACTTACATTACCCAGAATGCTCTCAATCAGCCAGTGTAAGGAACAGTAAGACAACAGAATGAGAACAAAAGAAAGACAAGTTACTTACTTGTGGGCTACAAAAGATCCGCAGACACTGAGGGATCTCATGGGATCTGAGGGTGCCATGGTAAACCTGCATTAGAACTGGGATCCGGATCTCCAGGACAGGATCAGCCCGTTCATTCATTTATTCTGTCTGCCCTGCCCCCAGCCCCTTCTCTCACCTCTCTGTCCCTTGGACTTCATCTTGGACACAGGCTCCCTTCCCAGGAGAGAGGGCTCCCACCATCCTGGCATTCACAGCCCCCAGTGGAAGCCCTCCAGATGGAGAACTCTCTTCCTGGTACCTCTGTCTCCTGCCCAGCAGAGCTCTGGCATGGACGCTACCTGCATTATGAGCTCATCCAGCTCAGGCACTGTGACCAGGGGTGGCCACCCAGGGGCTGTGCCTGTGTCCCCTGCCCTTCCTGGCCACGGGTGAGGGTGATGTTTCGGGTCTCGTTGCCCCACTAAAGAGACATTGTGTAGACACTTTCTCTGTTGATGAGTAACCTGGCTGTCACTGGTTCTGCATGTCCACCCCATTAGCACATGGTCCCCAGCAGACTTTAGCTGAGTACAAGGGCTCCAATCAGCTTGATAAAACACATCAAAACACATGCAGATTATTTATCACCACACCCAGTGAACCAAGTTTGACAAAATCTGTGACACCTCTCTGAGGACAAGCAAAACTCCTTTACTGCACTGATATCAGATTTGGAGGGAGAAAGAAAGCTTGGTTCTGGGACTGGTGTATGGCACAGCGGGCTAAGACACTGCTTATGATGCCAGCATCCCATAGTTGAAGTGCCTGTTCAAGCCCTGGCTCCAAGGCAGCTCCATACTAACACACCTGAGAAACCAGCGGCATATGGTCCAAGTACCTGGGCACCTGCCACCCCCGTGGTAGACCTGGGTGGAGTTCTAGGCTTTTTAAAAAGATTTATTTTTTTATTTTTTTATTTTTTTATTTTATTTTTTGACAGGCAGAGTGGACAGTGAGAGAGACAGAGAGAAAGGTCTTCCTTTGCCATTGGTTCACCCTCCAATGGCCGCTGTGGCCAGCGCGCTGCAGCTGGCACCCTGCGCTGATCCAATGGCAGGAGCCAGGTACTTATCCCGGTCTCCCAGGGTGCAGGGCCCAAGGAATTGGGCCATCCTCCACTGCACTCCCTGGCCACAGCAGAGCTGGCCTGGAAGAGGGGCAACCAGGACAGAATCTGGCACCCCTACCGGGTCTAGAACCTGGCTAGGCGGAGGATTAGCTTAGTGAGCCACGGCGCCGACCAAAAACATTTATTTCTTTGAAAGTCAGAGTTACAGAAGGCAGAGTTACAGAGAGAGAGGGAGGAATACAGACAAGCAGACACCACATGCGCGCGCACACACACACACACACACAGAGAGGGGAGAGGGAGAGAGAGAGAGACAGAGATACAAAGAGAGAGGTCTTACATCTGCTGGTTCACTTCTTAAATAGCCACAATGGCAAGGGAAGTGCCAGGTGGAAGCAGGAACCAGGAGCTTTCTGGGTCTACACTGTGGGAGAAGCAGCCTAAGCATCTGGGTCATCTTTCGCAGCTTTCCCAGGCACATTAGCAGGGAGCTGGATTGGAAGTGGAGCAGCCGAGACTCAAGCCAGCAACCATATGGGATGCCAGTACTGCACCGCTGGCTGAACCCATTACACCACAGTGCCAACCCCATAGGCTTCTGGCTTTAAACTGACCCTCCCTAGCTGTTGCGGCCATGTACGAAGTGAACCAGAGGATAGAAGATCAATCCCTCTCTGTCCACGGATCTCTCAAATAAATAAATCTTAAAAGAAACCGTTATGCCCAGATCGCTGAATCCCCAAAAATCACCAGAGACTGGATCTCACCGAAATGCAAAAGCAAGGTTTATTCTGGAAGTACAAGCAGCGGCAGGGACCTCATCTAACCAACCGATGCAGCGGAGGTCAGAGGAAGGCCCTGAGCTTTGTTCGGGAGCGTTTTTAAAGGACAAAGCTGCAGGGTTACATCAGCAAGGGTTTGGGGTACAGGGCTACAGTGGATTGAACGGTGCCATTCCTGGTAGCTGTTGGTTGGACGAGGCTGATCCTGATTGGCTTGGGCCCAGGGCATTTCCTTATTTGGTAACTGTTGAATGTTTGCTTTTACAGGAACTTGGGCCTGCTCCAGAAAATGGAGGCGCCTTGGCTCTTCAGAACTTAGGCACCAGTGCTGTGGCATAGCAGGTAAAGCTGCCACCTGTGACACTGGCAACCCATATCAGGAGGCTGGTTTGAGTCCCGGCTGCTCTGCTTCTGATCCAGCTCCCCGCTAACATGCCTGGGAAGGCAGAGGGGAAGGCAGAGGAAGATGGCCAACTACCTGGGGCATTGCCAACTGAGGGGAGACCTGGATGGAGTTTGGGTGCCTGTCTTCAGACTGGCCTAGTCTAAGCCATGGTAGCCATTTGTGGGGGGGGCAGGTGAACCAGTGAATGAAAGTTCTCTCTCTCCCCCTCTTTCCTCTCTCTCTCTCTCTCTCTCTGTGTCTCCACCCGTGTGTGTTTATTGTCTCCCTGTATCTGTAACTCCACCTTTCAAATAAATAGTTTTAAATATAAAAACAGTCTAATAAGACATTTTCTTAGCAGTTTCCTTTGGGATTTACACCGCATTGAATTCTTGGGGCAGTGCCCACAGAGATTCCGCCTCCTCATTTTAGTCCAGCGTGGACAAGATAGGACTTTCCGCAGCATGTTCAGGCTACTGATGAGCAGAGCTGGGGGACACAGAGTCCTAAGGGCCATCACTTACCTTGGGGGAGATGAATTTTCTAAAACCACATGGGTCTGCAAGGCTCCCACCAGCACTGGGGAGGAGTGATGAGAAGGAGAGCTGTGGTGTGTCTCTTGTCCTTGCCGACGCTGCTTTGCAGTCCGGATGGGAACTCTGTTTTTCCTCAAACTGGGTTACTTGAAGGGACTTGGAAAACCTCATGGAAAATGGAAATAAAGGATGAGCTTATTTGTTACAGTTTTTGAAATTCATGCATAGGAGAGGGGATACAAAACATTCACGGGAAAAGTATGTTAAGGACAAACTATGCAAAGGTTTTCAAAAGTTTTTGCACCTAAATAAATTTTGAATTCTATATCTGGTGAAGTTTTGGTAGTATCCTGAGTTTCATCTTTATTTGATCTGCCTTCAAAAACTCCAACCTTATTACAAAGATGAGTTTTTACCTGTGCTTAATGGAAAACAGTTCCCAAAATCTTCATAATTTAATTTTTTTGACTTTTGTAGCAAAACTGTAGTGAGAATTCCTGGGGTGCTGGTTCTTTCCTCTCAGCCCTGAGGAGGTGACCAGCACTGCAGGAAATCATGGAGAAATTGCATTGTGCAGTGTCCCTGGACATCCTGGAGGAGGGGGTCATCTCCCCAGGGAGGGGTTCCTCTCCCAAGAGGGCGTGGGCAGTCGGTGCAGAGGGACCATCATGTGTTCCTGGGGCCCATGGCTGTGCTGGGCCCTGGGGGCTCCTCAAGAACTGCAGGAGACACAGATCCACTTGCTATGTGGGGGCAGGGGTTACCGGGCTCACTTCCTACCTGAGATGAGTTTGTCACTTCCTTGGGAGAAACACTGGTCCTGAGGGCTCAGCACGAAGCTGTCCCAAGGAGACAGATCTGAGGCTGTGATGCGGCCATCGTCTCGTCCTAGTTCTGGGCTGTGCAGGTCCTGAGGAGTTGAAGCAGGGAGTTTCTCCTTTTTTCCTAAGATGCATTCTATGTGTGTGAGAGTGAAGAGGGGAAAGAGAGAGTGCTAGTGAGAGAGAGAGAGACAGAGAGAGGAGCTAGGTAGAGGGAGCTAGGGAGCTCTTCCATCCTCTGATACAGCCCATAAATGACCTCCAGGGCTTGGCCAGGCTGAAGCCAGAAGCCAGGAGTTTTGGTTGTTGTTACAGGAGCCCAAAAACCCCAAGTGCCTGGCAGTGCCTCGATTCCTCCCTACCGGGTGGAGGACAGTCTCAGAGGATGTAGCTTTCTCGGCTGCCTCTGATTGGGCCTTCCATGTTTGGACTGCACAGACCCCACTACCTTCTGGGCTTCCAGGGTTTCTGCCAAGAAATCTGACGATGACTTAGGGGGAAAGGGTGACAAAGCCACCTTCCTCTCAGCTCTGGAGGTGCGAACAGTGTACCTGGAGGTGTCTTGGGCAGCAGAACACTTGTTGAGTTTACTGAAGCCAGAGATGTTGTTCCATCATTCTGAGACCCATCACTCAGAGAGTAAAGACAAAGGAGGGGCTATACTAAGTGGAGACACTAGGAGGTCTTCAAAAGATGCAACATATCATCATATTTAAACTAGTAATGTGAAGGCCACCCAAGCAATCTATAGGTTGGAGTTTCTCAAAAATTAAGTATCAAGCCCTATCACCAACCTAGGCCAAAAACTCTTTGGGTATCGTTTTAATTTAATTGGAAGATTCTCGAGAAAACCACTGTGGATGAACCACAGCTCCCATTGGTCAATTTCTTGCTCTGACTTCATAAGGCACCACTGTTATGAAAGTCATATTATTACACAGTCCCTGGCTGGGCTGTGATTGGTCCATTTCTTGCTCTGCTCTCACAAGGCGCCATTATGGGAGGTGAACCCCCAAAAAGTATATATAGCCGCTGCGGGGGCCTAGATTTTTGTCCGCCTTACCCAGAGAGCACTCTTTTGTGATCTGTGTAACTAGGACCCATCTAACCAGCCTTTGCGCTCGTTGGTGTTGCTTGTGCTTTTTCTTGGTTGTTTGTTTCTGGGTCTATTTGGTTTTTGCTTTTTTCCATTTTGTTTAGTTTGTTGTTTTCCTCCTCGTTGTTGTTTTGCCCATTTGGTCTTTTTTTGCAGTTTTCTTTATTTTTGCTTCCCCCACTCTAGTCAGCTAGCACACTCAGAAGTATCAGCGTTCGAGGATTTAGTGGCTTTTCCTCTTTGTTTTTTTCTGCTTTATTGAGATAGGCTTGCGGCTTCGCCACTAGAGTAGTGAGAGTAGCTGGTGCTGTGTCTTAGTCAGCTGGGTAGTCAGTCCCCTGTGGTCCCTTTGTGTTGTAGGCAGTGCAGTGAGGATCGGTGATTAGCTAGTGTGTGTCGAGTGATTTAGGGAGTCGAGAGAGCGTAGTTAGGTGACCGGCATCATGGAAGACCCCTTGGACTTCCATCCTGCTCTGGACGGGTTCCGCTTCGTGGACGTGATCGGCCGGGGCGGCTTTGGCCTGGTGAAGCTGGCCCGGCACCTGGCGTCGGGCAAGTACGTGGCAGTGAAGATCCTCCTGCGAGACTGCTCTCCCAGCAGCCCGCTGTCCGCGCAGGGGGAGGCAGCCATCCTGAGGAGCCTGCGGCATGACAACATCGTGCGGCTGCTGGAGGAGCGGCACACGAGGACGCACCTGTTCCTGGTCATGGAGCTGGCGACCAAGGGCTCGCTCCAGAGCTACGTGTTTGAGCAGGGCGGCCTGGCTGAGGCCGAGGCCAGGATCCTGTTCGGCCAGGCGCTGGCCGCCGTGAGCTACTGCCATGCCCAGCGCGTGGTGCACCGGGACCTCAAGCTGGGCAACCTGCTGCTGGACGAGCACATGACCATCAAGCTGGCGGACTTCGGCCTGAGCCTGCGGCTGGAGCAGGGCACGCTGGTAAGGGGCTTCTGGGGGACCCCCGAGTACTGCGCACCGGAGGTTTTCCTCGGGGAGGCCTATGACGCTTTTAAGGCTGATGTGTGGAGCCTGGGGGTGGTGCTGTTTGCCATGCTGGCGGCCACGCTGCCCTTCCGCGGCAAGGACACGGAGGAGCTGCAGGACACGGTGCTGTGTGCCTGCTATGTGCTGCCGCGTGCCGTCAGCCCGGCCCTGCGGGAGCTGCTGGCTTGGCTGCTCACTGTCGACGCCTCGGGGAGGCCCAGTGCGGAGGACGCCACAACCCACTGGTGGTTCGATCCCGGCCAAGAAGCTACCCAGGAGGAGAAGGAGGCCGCTGTCACCCTGCTGCAGCCCCTGGGCGTTCCCCGGGACTCAGAGGCCAAGGAGTACCTGGCGGGCCTCGGCCTGCTGCCAGGCACGGGGACTGAGGGGACGCCAGGCCCTCAGCCCCAGGGCCCTGCATCCCTGCCCAAGTCCTCACAGGGCGGGGAGCGCCTCACCAGAGAGAAGGACCATTTGTCTCTGGTGTCGGTGTCCTGTGACAGCATGTCCGTGGAAATTTCCTCCGCACGAAGCGACTCCTCCGAGGCCTCTAGTGAGTCTTGCCCTCCCCCCTGCCTCGGGGCCTCCAGGAGCTGAGCCCAAGGTCCCCGAGGTGACCCCACTCTTGACTCTCTCCACCAGGCCAGCCACAGCAGGAGAGGAGCCCTGCTCCTAGTGCCAACCCCAACTCCTCCCAGGCCTCCAGTGAGTCTTGCCCTCTCCCCACATCCCCTGCCACTTCGGGGCCTCCAGGAGCTGAGCCCAAGGCCCCCGAGGTGACCCCACACTTGACTCTCTCCTACCAGGCCAGCCACAGCAAGAGTGGAGCCCTGCTCCCAGCGCCGCCCCTGAGCCAGCCTCCGAAGCGTCGCCCTCCAGCCCCAGTGCCGGGAGCCACGTGGACCTTGCAGAGCCAGAAGCCACCGCTGCCGCAGCCCGTGAGCCCAAGGATGCTGACACCACAGACACCAAGGCCAGCGCCCAGGGCAAGAGGCAGGGCCGTCGCGGGGTCGGCAGGAGGATCCTCCGGTTCCTGCTGAGGGCGTGCTGCATCCTGCCGTCCCGAGGGAGCAGCCCTGGCAGCTGCTGCAGAGTGGTTCCCAAGTAGCCTCGCCCCGCCCCCGTCTCCAGGAGCTATCCGCTGAGCTGACTGAACTTTTCTTTTCTTGAGCATTTGCACATGCTTCTCATGAATAAAATTCACCATGTGTGCATGGCTTTGGTCCCGTGTGATGTTTGGGTCCCTGTGTGCACCCTGGGGAGGTGATGGAGGTGACGGGTGGGTGGCTCTCACAGAAAGACAAACGCTGGGCCATCTCCCCTGTGTGGGGATCACAGAAGGGCTGACATCATAGAAGTAGAGCATAGAGTGACGGATCCCTGAGCCTGGGCCAGGGGAGGAGGGAGGGAGAGTCACAGCTTCCATAGTGGCACAGGCACACGGGGGTCGGGGTCTGATGAAGAGTTGATGAACCAGGAGAAGAAGAAAACTTATCCGAAGTGCTGATGCCTCCCGGACCCTGGGGGGAAGCTGAGCTTGATGCCCTAGCCTGCCCAGGGCTTTCCGGTGACAAGCCCACGAACTCCTTTTCATTCTCTCAACCTGCTTGGGGGGAGCTTGTCTTATTTCCATCCAGCATGTTGAAACTCTTCCTGTCTTCATAGCTGGGAAGTTTCATTTCTCAGGCCTGCAAGCACAGAAGTTTCATTATCCCCCCTTGCCTGGAATTTGGAGCTTCCAACCCAGTCCCCTCCAAGAACCCTGTTTCTTCCTGTTGGTGGGGAAATTACCTGCAGTCCCTAAGGGTCATTACCCTTTCATGGCTGCTGCCCAGGAGCCTGCACAAGCGCATCATGGAAGAGGAAATGGGAATGAGCTGTAAACGATGAAGAGATGACACCTTAAGGGACAGGAAAATCAAAATGCAATGGGGGGAGGGGCAGCAGTATGGTGTAGCTGGTAAAGACCCCTCCTGTGATGTTAACATCTCATTTGGGTGCCAGTTCCAGACCTGGCTGCTCCACTTCCTACCCAGCTCTCTGCTAATGTTCCTGAGAATGCAGTGGAAGACGGCTCAAGTGCACCCACTGGGGAGACCCAGAAGAAGATCCAGGCTTCTTCAAAAAGACATGCATGTACACATGCACAAGAATGTTCAGGACTACCTTGTTGATGATACCAAGACTGAAATCAACTGATGTATGCGTACACAAGAAGTAAACATTAACTGTGGTATAGTTACTGAATGCATTTTAGAAGGCAATGAAAATTAATGAACTTCAGCTACATATGGATGTGGATACAATGTGAGTAAATCTAAAAATCATAGCTCTGGAGCCTGGCAACATGGCTCACTTGGTTAATCCTCTGCCTTGCGGTACCAGCATCCCATATGGGCGCCAGGTTCTAGTCCTGGTTGCTCCTCTTCCAGTCCAGCTCTCTGCTGTGGCCCGGGAGTGCAGTGGAGGATGGCCCAAGTGCTTGGGCCCTGCACCCGCGTGGGAGACCAGGAGGAAGCACCTGGCTCCTGGCTTCGGATCGGCTCAGTGCGCCGGCCATAGCGGCCATTTGGGGGGTGAACCAACGGAAGGAAAACCTTTGTCTCTCTCTCTCTCACTGTCTAATTCTGCCTGTCAATAAAATAAAATAAAATGAAATAAAAAAAAATAAAAAGCATAGCTCTAAGTAAGAAAGAGAACTCCCAAATACCTACAAAAGTCATTTAGAAACATACGATAATTGGTACATTATCCAGGGTTGTATCAGGGTAGAACAGCATAGGAGTGATCAACATAAACTCCTAAGAGTGTCTGTTCTTCAGAGGACTAATAGACCAGCATCCCAGTTATGTACGCTAACTCGGTGGTGGTTGTAGGCACGCTCACCCTACTCTTTACATTATATATGTTTTACACTTGTGTATGCATGTCACATGTTGCATTTTGTAGTGAAAATATTCATACAAAATGCAGCATTTTAACCATTTAAAATTACTTATTTCGTTCATTTGAAAGGGAGGGAGAGAAAGACAGAGATAGCTCTCTCATTCACTTGCTCACCCCCAAATGCCCACAACAGCCAGGGCTGAGCCAGGCAAAGAAGCTAGAGCAGCGAATTCAATCTGGGTCTCCCTGTGGGTGGCAGAGACCAAAGTACTGAAACCATCACCACTGCCTCCCAGAGTGCACAGTACAAGGCAGCTGGGGAACGGCAGGCACTGTGCTGTCAGTTACCCGCTGCTCGCAACACTGGTATCCCATATGGGTGCTGTTTTGAGTCCCCATGGGAGACCCAGAAGGAGCTCTGGGCTCCCAGCTTCTCCTGGGACAGCCCCGGCCTTTGCAGCCATTTAGAGAGTGAGTCAGCAGATGGAAGACCTGTGTGTGTGTGTGTGTGTGTGTGTGTGTCCCTCTCACTCTCTCAAATAAATGAGTTTTCTTTGAACAAGGAAGCTAGTGTTAGGAGCTGCATTACCAGGAAGCTGGAATCAGCCAGGTGGGAACAGAACCCAAACACACCAAAATGAGATCCAGGCCTCCTAAGCGGGCATCTTAAACCCCTTTGCCAAAAGCTCATGGCTAAATGTTTTTTAACTGAACAGTTCTATCCAACTAAGCAGAGTCATGTGGCTGCTCAGCCATCCAGTTTTCATCTCCAGAATCTTTTCATTATCCCAAACTGCTTTTGGTATCATGGTCAAAAAAAATCATTGCTACATCCAATTTTGTAAAGCTTTTGCGCTATTTTCCTTCTAAGGAGTTTTTTTTTTTTTAAGATTTATTTATTTATTTGAAAGAGTTACAGAGAGGAGAGGCAGAGAGAGAGAGAGAGAGAGAGATCCTCCATCTGCTGGTTTACTCCCCAATTGGCTGCAAGGGGCTGAGCTGCGCTGATCTCAAGTCAGGCACTTCTTCCGGGTCTCCCACACGGGTGCACCGAGACAAGGACTTAGACCATCTCCTACTGCTTTCCCAGGCCAGAGCAGAGGGCTGGTTCGGAGGTGGAGCAGCCGGGACAGGAACCAGCGTCCATATGGGATGCCGGCACTGCAGAGGATGACCTTACCTGCTACGCCACAGCACGGGCCTCCTTTCTGAGAGTTTTGTGGTTTGAGCTCTTCCACTTAGATCTTTGATCCATTTTGAGTTCATTTTATATTTACATTCTCATAGATTTATATTTTTACATTCATCTTATTTATATGCAAATTCATCTTTTTGTATTATAACGCCTTTTTAAACAGAAAGAAAAGAATCGCAGACTATGGGCTCCCATAGGAACCCACCCCATTTCAGAGATCTGGGGAGGGAAGCAGGAGCACACAGGGCTCATGCAGCTGCTTCTAATGCCCCCGGGACCTCTTGGCTCAATCCACTTTCCCAGCTCAACGCACCTGCGCACTGCGCAAGGCCCCTGCAGCTACAGTTGGGGCCTCGGGTTGGGATCCGCCCCTTCCTGCTGCGCGCCCGCCCATGTCTCAGCACTAGCCCCGCCCCCGAGGGCGGGCCCAGCGGGTCGAGGTCTGAGCGTTGAGAAACAGGCCCCGGGCTAGGGTGGGAGGGAAAACCCGGAAAAGTGGGATTCGTTCTGGTGGCCCTTCAGCAGCAGGTTGAAGGCCTGGCCTCCAGCTCCGTTGCAGTTGTTGATCCGGACCACGTTTTCACTTACGCCCAAGGCCGGACGCGAGCCGGAGACCTCCTGGGGACCCAGGCCGAGGGGAGGCGGGGCGCGTGCTCGGCCCGGATTGGCCTTTCTAAATGGCGCGGGGCTTGGCGGGAGTTTCGTGGGCGCCGCGGGAGCCGGGAGCAGCCCGATGGCTCTGGCGGGCCGGGTGCGGTCCCGGAGGCGGGCGGGGTAAGAGCTGCGGGTCCCGCTCGGACTGACGCGGTTTGAGCCTTTGGGGCTGCGCTAGTGGAGCTTCCTTGTGGAAGTGACAGATCGCCCAGGGCCTCGGTTTGCATCTCTCAGTGCGGATTTCCTAGGAGGAGTCAGGGCGTGACGCCTTGCCTGGCGGGTGGGAGAGACTTTGGGGTTCGTGGAGCTGAGGGTCGCGGGCGCTTGGTGCCTGCTGTTCCCCAGACGTGACGCGCTGCACCCCTGCGGGTCGTGTCTGCCTTCGTACCCCAAAGCGCAGACTGTAACGCTGGCCCTCACCCCTGCCCGGGGACCGAGCTGCCGCTTCGGGAGTGTTCCAGGGCGGGGAGCAACTTTTCTCAAAAGGGGCATGCATTGGAAAGTACGTCGTATTCGTCGTTCACAGATTCGTGAGTGGACGCCCGGGCTCTCTAGCGTTGTCTACAGGGCATCCAGGCGCCGAAAGGTTTTTAAAAACCTGTTGGAGATGGAGACTTAGGGCATCTGTTGAGCCCTTCCCTCAGAAATGCACAGGAAAACACGGTTGTCTCAAGCGTCCATCTTGAATGAAGCCTCACCTGGACTCCAGCTGAAGGCGTATTGTTTGATTTGAGCACACGCAAGAGACAGCTGGAAATAATTTAGGTTAAGACGCGTACTGATGTGGTTTCTGCTTCCTGCTGACGTTACTTGACTGTGTGGCCATTGCTGGGTTTTTGTGGGAGGCCATGGATTTGAACTGAACGTCAAGCCGGTCACTGGGCTTAGGTGGCTGGGGGAAAGCTCTGTAGCAGTTAACTAACTGGGCTGTACGCAATGAACTGGATAAGGTGTTACCAATTGGTTGGGTAGGCTGCAGCCAATTAAGTTAATGATGTGTGATCGCTCAGGTTGCTGGTGGTTCTCAGAACTTGCTTATATTTCTGGGGCTGCTCCATTCCCTAATTGTTTCTGGTTTTGCTTCGCCCAAATAAACTCGTCTAAATTTAATTGAACTAAAACTTCCCTGTTACCATCATTGCTAAGTCATTTAGCTTTCCTGAACCTCTGAATTATAACCAGAATCATAAAATTGCCATTGAGCAAATACTTGTACCATTTTAGGTTTGGAGACTCAGATAAAGCGTGGGAACTTGAGAAGTGTGAACTCTCCACCCAACCCTTGACTTACTGAGCCAGAAACTGGGGGTGGCGCCAGGCGTGAGACCACTGCTCTAAACAGTGTTCCAGCTTTCTTTTTTTTTTAACTGTGATTCACACAATGATGTTTTGCATCGCAGTTAGTACGCAGGTGCGCATGAAACAAATCGGAAAGTTTATGAAAATATCCTATCCAGTGCAATCTTATATTTTCTGTTC